AAGTTAACAATTGTTAAATCATAACACAGACCTTTTCATTGAAAAAAGTCATACACTAAACATTCCTCTCAATTAAAAAACGTGTCCAAAATATACCGATATTTCCAAGTGACTTCGAAAATATTTAGATAACTCAATTGAGGTAATTCAACAATGAACAACTGAAAATAATGTAGTTTAACTTGTACGACTCATTTCGCAGACTAAAAACCTCCTTCTCATTGTACCTATGTATAATTATTACTGTTGTGAATAATGATCTCTCACGTTAATCAAATTCCCGTTATTATTGTCAACAACGTCCGGTTTGCCTTCATTATGGCCAACATCTGCCAGTCAGTTATTTCAAATAAAATTAGATCGAAATCACTGAAACTGTTACCTACTTCACAACAGACATAAAACTTAATCTTTTTTTTATTCTGCAAGAACCTTTTTCAAAAATGACTTTATAGAGCTTTCAGCATCTATGAATGATATTGAACTTTTTTGAATAAGGTGAGGTGGAGTAAGTGTGTAGACGGGTCACAGGACGTACTATTTTCTAGAGTTAGACGTGAATTGGTAAGGCTGCTTCTCAAAAGCTTGGAACACTGTTCTGAACCAGAAAACTGTACACACCTCAGCAACTTTTGATGCTGAGATCATACCTACTTTGGAGTATTGTTCTCATGTACGGAGCTCTCCCCATACCTGGAACATAGAAGAAAGGTTGGAGATTTGTCTCTTTTCTATAGATACTTTCACGTGAAGTGTTCAAGTGACTTGGCACATTTGATTCCACCAAGATTGGTACATATCAGAAATTCGCGACGGACTGTGGCTGCTCATCGTTTCGAGGTTCAACTCGGTACACCTCGAACTTCACTGTTCAAGAACTCTTCCATCTGGAGATCTGCGTGTATGTGGAATGAACTTCCTGAGAACGTTTTTCCAAATGGATTTAATCTCCAGCGATTCAAATCCGATGTGAATCGCTACTTTCGCACAGGCACCGATATGAGAGCGCCTTAAGAATTTTCTTTCAGTGCTTGTGTTTTGTCCTTAAAAAAAAAGATATCTACCGGAACCAGATTCAGATTTATTCAGACTAAAGTGTACAAATAAAGAAACATATCGATGATTATTATAAAATTTCTGTTGGATGACGAGACTGCACGTAAGCATTTTGTATGCTTGAGTCATGCTTGTCTGCAACCCTCCAGAAACATTGTAATTGTACAGTAAATCATTGAATAATGAAAGTGTATAACTACTCAGTACATTATTCAATTGAAGGGAGAGTTAGACCTTATTGAATAATGAGATAGTTTCAGGAACGTAGGATTATGGAATACCGAGAAGACATCAACTAATTTATTATTTTATAAATTTCTTTTGGATTTTTCAAAATGAAAAGTTTTGTTTATACTTATGGAAATTGGTTATTATCTTTAGTTCATGAGGTAGAAGATTATACAGTTTCAGCCTAAAAGAGAAAATGGTTTTTTTGTGTGGCTCTTTTTGTACATTGGCATATATAATGTGAGATTATCCAGTGATCTGGTAATATTTACAACTTCCGTGGGGCGATTGAAACGATTTAGGTTATAAAACATCCATTCTAAGCATTGGTAGGCATACAAGCTTCTACTATAAAATATCTGCGACTGCTCATATAGTTACGCAGTTGAATGCAGTTTTGGTTTTTTGAATATTATTTTCAGGATTTTGTTTTGCATTGATTGGAGTTTTGTCAAATTATTGCGAAATAAACCTCCCCATGCTTTTATACAACACCGTAATATGGATTCAGCTAATGGATAGTAAATTACTCTTAGTGTTTTATCATTCAGAAATTCTCTCAATTGATAAATTTTTCTAGTTAGGTGTCCGAGTCTGTTAGTCAAAGATACAACATGATTTTCCCACCTTACGTTTTGGTCTATCATAACACCTAAATACTTGAACCTATTACATTTCTCAATTTTCGGACAATTGCATGTTAAACGATTCTGGTAATTATTCTCGTGTATATGAATACTGTTCTTTACTACCGATTGATCACCTGCAATCAGAGAAAAAGAAATGTATTTAGTTTTTTTACATTCCAGCTAAGTAGGTTTTTGTCTAGCCATTTTTAACTTGTTCTAATCCATTATTTGGCATCATCAATAACCTTATCCCAAGTGTTTGCAGAAAAAATCAAAGTGGTATCGTCGGCATAGCATTGACTTGTCAATTAAAAAATTGATTTATCTTTTGAACTATTAAAGATCCAAATGAGGAAATTTATTAATCTTTATTTTTATTACTAGGCAAGAATGGTTAGAAAGCATATTCGCAACTCAACTAAGAGAAGTACATATACTGATGACACTCTAAAAAGAGCATTGACTTGTCAATTAAAAAATTGATGTATCTTTCAAAATATTAGAAATCCAAATGAGGAAATTTATTAATGTTTATTTTTATTACTAGGCAATAATGGTTAGAAAGTATATTCGCAACTCAACTAAGAGAAGTACATATACTGATGCCACTCTAAAAAGGGCATTGACTTGTCAATTAAAAAATTGATTTATCTTTTGAACTATTAAAGATCCAAATGAGGAAATTTATTAATCTTTATTTTTATTACTAGGCAAGAATGGTTAGAAAGCATATTCGCAACTCAACTAAGAGAAGTACATATACTGATGACACTCTAAAAAGAGCATTGACTTGTCAATTAAAAAATTGATGTATCTTTCAAAATATTAGAAATCCAAATGAGGAAATTTATTAATGTTTATTTTTATTACTAGGCAATAATGGTTAGAAAGTATATTCGCAACTCAACTAAGAGAAGTACATATACTGATGCCACTCTAAAAAGGGCATTGACTTGTCAATTAAAAAATTGATTTATCTTTTGAACTATTAAAGATCCAAATGAGGAAATTTATTAATCTTTATTTTTATTACTAGGCAAGAATGGTTAGAAAGCATATTCGCAACTCAACTAAGAGAAGTACATATACTGATGACACTCTAAAAAGAGCATTGACTTGTCAATTAAAAAATTGATGTATCTTTCAAAATATTAGAAATCCAAATGAGGAAATTTATTAATGTTTATTTTTATTACTAGGCAATAATGGTTAGAAAGTATATTCGCAACTCAACTAAGAGAAGTACATATACTGATGCCACTCTAAAAAGGGCATTGACTTGTCAATTAAAAAATTGATTTATCTTTTGAACTATTAAAGATCCAAATGAGGAAATTTATTAATCTTTATTTTTATTACTAGGCAAGAATGGTTAGAAAGCATATTCGCAACTCAACTAAGAGAAGTACATATACTGATGACACTCTAAAAAGAGCATTGACTTGTCAATTAAAAAATTGATGTATCTTTCAAAATATTAGAAATCCAAATGAGGAAATTTATTAATGTTTATTTTTATTACTAGGCAATAATGGTTAGAAAGTATATTCGCAACTCAACTAAGAGAAGTACATATACTGATGCCACTCTAAAAAGGGCATTGANAAAAAAGCAGGCATTGTTCCTTATAATTCCGAAGTCGTGTCCAAGGAGAAATATGATCCATTATCATACAAGAGATGAGAAAAGCATCAAAGAACCTATAGCAAATGACCAACAAATGATGTTGCAGCGAGCGTTGCAGAAACTTCCAGTGAGAATGACATGCCATTAGATACAAAGTGCACATTTGAAGAATTATTTCTATCTACTGTCAAACAATATAATCCATCCGAAAAGATAAAGAAGACGAAAGTTTCTGGAGCAGAAATGATAACAGCCAAGGAAGCTTCCAATCGCTTGCAAGAAATACATGATACCAAAAAAAAACAAAAAGAATTATCTCACGAAGAAGTTTACCGAAATATTGAACCAGAAGAAAACGAACAAGAGGGCGAAATGATACGAGTAGTAAACCCATCAGGCACCTGTGCAACGTCTTCTATTCGGAAGATTCGTCGCAAGTTATTTTCCACTAAGAAAAACAGAAATTAATTTCATATGGTCGATAGCCCAACCGATAGACCGGTTTCGGATTACTTGCCCCATCATCAGTACCAACTAGTCATGAACTCTTTCTGCAGTTGATTCAGTAGAATGTCCACTGCGCCACCTGCAGATGAAGCCAGGAAACAACTCCACAAAAACATACTCCAGGGTGGGAGTCGGAATAATGATTAATATTCCGGAGAGGTGCATAAGACATGCTCCAGCTTCAGGTGAAAATACCTTACTCCTTGCCTCTCATGTAGACCTACGACTTTGTAGGTACTTGTAGCAGATACCCAATGGAAAATCAACTCTCTGCGCTAGCAGAGAGTTGAAGTAAAACCATAATCCACCTGTGTTAACGTCTTCGATTTGGAAGATTCGTCGCAAATTATTTCCCACTATGCTTGCGATTTGAGGTTGAGTGGAAGACCAACTCAGTAGCACTTGTGCTAACTGAGTTAAATAGTTCAACTCAAGTTCAACTTGAACTTCGCCTTTTGAGATTTTGTCTGTGAGTTCCATTGAATTCTTGATGCTGTGGTTGTTGTTCCCGTTGATTTTATTTTTTATTTCATCTACTATGATTTTTGAAATTTTGTATGAAGGTGCTTTGGTGAAATTGATAACTGGTCTCATAGGGTTATTTTCCTTATGTATCTTTTTCTGTGCGTAGAGTTTTGGTGCTCTTGGATTGTTGAGGGTTCAATATTTTGTTGCTGAAGATCTGGTTGTTGGATTTTATTAGGCTACTAATTTGTCTTTCGAATTTTGTGGATGGGTCGTAGTTCATCATATATAATTAAAATAATTCCATCCGGGTGTAACCTTCAACGCATTATGGAACTGAAAGTACTTCTGTATATGAAAATGTCTGTATTGATAATGAAGATAAAACGGCATATAGAATGTACGAGTAATATATTCCTGCTTCATTGCTTAACTTCCATAAACGGCTCAGCACCTAAGTATTTTATAATTTGTTTACTTTTATTTCAGATCACGACGATATTATATTCGATATTCAATTCGGCGATAGCAAGAATAAGTACACAGTGCGAAGGGGGCGGCGGATTGAAATACTTGTGGGGAGATGCACTTTCTGACAGTCCAGAATGTACAGGACCTAATAACATGCCATATCCAAGGTGAGTAGGAGTGCTTGCAAACAGTTGCGAATAATGTTGTTCTCCAGTAGATTTTTACAAAAGATAATAAACGTAGTTTTCCAATCAACACTGAACATCAATTTGAAAAAACGAGATGATTTTGTTAAAGTTAAATCCTTGCTTTCTTGCTTTTGTAGCCATGAACCAGGTCTACCCAAATTCAGCTATAGGACATTGTCATATTTGGGTAAACCCACTAATAATATTGCTCGTTTTATGAAGAAAGAATGCGTGAACATAGCCTACAGCACGAATAAAAGTACCTACAGGTAAAATTATTGAAAATAATAAAGACAAAACTTTGGTGTTGGATAGATCAGGAGTATATAAGCTGACTTGTGGCTCTTGCCCAACACTTTATATTGGCCAAACAGGAAGAACATTTCCCCAAAGAATTAAAGAGAATAGAAAGACCAATTTCACATTTGCAAACTAACTTTTAGCAAAAAAACATGAGTTCAATCATGAATTCGACGTGTTACAATTAGAAGAGAAAAGTTCAAAACTCAGTCTTCTAGAATGTTTAGAAATCAATAGATTCAAGAATTCGGGTAATTTACTGAATGATCAATTAGAATTGACTAACTCCCCGTTACTAAATATTTTTTCAAATATGGAAACTGGTAAGACTCAGGTGATTGAAATGTAGGTATTTCAAATTGTAAAATTAGGTATATAAGGCATTGATTATGTAGAATATGGTTAGTAAAGATACGCCCGAAGAAGTCATTGTATGGCGAAACAAGTGTTGCGTTTTTGTAAAACCGTTTAGTTTTTTAATGATAAATATTTGCAAAGTTGACCTATGATCTTTGAATCCCAAATTCATTTGATTGATGAAATCATCGAGAAAGGGAATTGCAACTGCAAGACGAAAATATTTCTCTGGATTCTTCGAATTTACATTTATTCTATGTTTTTTGGATGCAATGCATGTAGTTGTAAATTCCTCGCGTGTAATTGTAAATTCCTCGTTTATTGATGAATCATATTTGTCTTCGTGTTCTCGAAATAAGTTTATGGTGTGTGAAAATAAAACAGATGAGCGAACCAAACTTCATAACAACTATGAAATTGATGTTGCTTTTGAAGATAGCCTCGTTTATTAAGTCTTGTCAGTCGATCCTATACATATACCGTTTTCGTAAAGGGAGATGTATGGAATGCAGTTTCATTGTACGGTAATAATCCGTTCGACCGCAGCGCCGAATAAAAATTATCAACAATCAATTTAATTCATGTATCACCTGAACGTAACAGTCAAAACAATGAATTTTTACAAAATACTAATAGAAAGTAAAACGGTGTGGCACGCTGTTTTGATTTCATTCATATTCCTTTTAAATGGGTTGAATTACTTATTTGTTGAATTTCAGTGATACATGAATTGAATTGATTATTGATAATTTCAATTCGACCCTACTGTTGATCAGGGTTTTGTCGTGCTATAAATAAACTAGTATGTTGCCTTATATAACACTTTTGAGTTCTTGATGAATCTGCTCGATAACAGTGCCGAATTAAAAGTATCAATAATTGTTTTGAATGTATCTTTCAAATTCAACAAACTTCATAAATCATCAAACGATTTGAATCTTTCCCAGAAATTATCTTTTAAAAAATATTGATGAAATAAAATGATACTTCTATAATGATTTGCACAAAAGTTGTAACCAAATTTTTAATTTAATGCATGAGAGTAAACGTTGGAAATATTCAACATTTTCAATAATATTGAAATATAACAATCTTAATAATTCATAGAAAAATATTTAGCATGGAAAGTTCATTTACTATATTTTCAGACAGACGGAAGGGCATGAAATATTTGAAAATAATTATTCACATTTTTATTTCACATCTACAACATGAAACGAAGCTACATACAAAGTTTCAGCCTCCGAAAATATAGCGGTACAGAAAAACAGTGATGAAAAGGTAATTTTCATATGTAAACTCGACCCTTGTATCCCCAGTGGGGGGGCCCAGTTCGAATATTCAAAAGTTCCTTCTTATTGCACATCTACAACAAACGAACCCACATACAAAATTTCAGTCTCCGAAAATGTAGCGGTACGGAGAAACAGTGATGAAAAAGTGACTTTATTTTATAAAGGCGCCTTTTCCCCCGTGGCTGGCGCCTCAGTTGAAATATTTTAAAAGTCTTCATTATGTTAGGAATCACACGTTAAAAGGAAAGACCTCGTTAATCCTTAGCTCGCACAAGTTTCGACTTTTGAGGGTTGTCGTTCGTAGGGGTGCGACAGCTGGTTAACGGAAAAACATATTTTAAACAGATTTTTTAAACAGATCTATAACATAAAACGACCCTACATAAAACATTTCAGCCTCCGAAATCTAGCGGTACGGAGAAACAGTGATGAAAAGGTAACTCTATGTTATGAACCCCCCTTTCACCCGCGGCTGGCGCCCCAGTTGAAATGTTCAAAAATCCTTTTCTATTGTCAGACTTCGAAAATATAGCGGTACGGAGGAACATTGATGAAAAGGGAACTTTATATTATGAACTCCCCTTTTCCCCGCGGCTGGCGCCCCATTGAAATGTTCAAAAATCCTTTCCAATCGCACATTTATAACTCAAAACGCCCCTACATACAAAATGTCAGACTCCGAAAATATAGCGGTACAGAGGAACAGTGATGAAAAGGTAATTATCATATGTAAACGCTCCCCTTTTATTTCCAGGGTGCACTTCAGTTGAAATATTTAAAAATCCTTTCCTATTGCACATTTATAACTTAAAACGACCCTACATACAAAATATAGCGGTACGTGGGAACAGTGATGAAAAGGTAACTTTATTTTATGAACTCCTCTTTTCCCCGCGACTGACGCCCCAGTTGGAATGTTCAAAAATACTTTCTTATTACACATTTACAACATGTTCATATGCAGACGCTCCCCTTTTACCCCCAGTGGAGACACTCCAGTTGGAATATTTGAAAATTCATTCTTAGTGCGCATCTAAGACCTAAGAAGCATTATTCTTTTTTGTTCAAATTACAACTTTATTCATGTAACATTTAAAATCAACTTTCATCTAAAATAGAACAAATTATATGAACAATCGTTTGTGTTCAACAAATGCATGATTCAATTGAATTCAAACAAATACATTGTTGAGTGAATAAGTTAAGAAATACATATTTGTAACAATAAAAAGTTAAGCGGCGTTCCATAGAGATGTCATCGTCTTTTCATACTTAGGCTTGTCTTTTAAGGACAGATGAGTTATCTCCTAATTATGCTGATACCTTTATTTTATTCTGGTGTGGGTATAGTGTTCAAAATACGTTTAAACACTTTTTAGAGAAGAATGAGATACTGGATAAGTGACGAAGACGAGCGCATACCTAAACCACTTAAATTAATAGCTAGCTTGAAGCCAGGATTCCATTATATGGCACTATCAAATTATTTCAGCAATCGATTACAGTTCCGAAACGGGCCAAGCTTTTGAAATTTACATAAAATTTGAATCAGTTATACAATTTTCCAACAAAAAATATGGGGTGGGATTCTAGTTGGTTGAAACATATTGAATCAATTTGCTCCAAATTGTCTAGTGTGATCTTCATTATAAGATATCGGAGGAAAGTGATGAGTGCAGATGTTTTGTTGAATACCTATAGGCACTCTTATGGTACAATATTGTGGGGCAGTTCCACCAATTCACTAAAAGTCTTCAAACTTCCAAGAAAGGCGGTTAGAACTATTGCGTTTGCAGGTTACAAAGACCACTGGAGACCACTATTTCAAAAATACGGCATTATGGCATTACCATCCTTATATATATCAGCAACCAGTAGACATCCATTAAAATAAACATAAATATTCACTAAATTAAAATTTCCATGACTACCACACTCGACATACAGATCAAATTAGGCCTATTAGATACAGATTGAATAAAGCTATGAATAACTCTCCTTATATAATTCTTTATAAACACTTGCCTAGGGAAGTTAAATCTTTGACCCCAAATTGTTTCAATCAAAAAGAGTTCCTCATTAACTCAAGTTTCTACACTATTGCACAATAGTAAAACACCGCTATTCGCATGGGAACGTTTAGATATTGAGATATTTTATTTAGTTATTTTAATATCTTTAATCCCTTTTAAAGTTATTAAAGTTTGATTGCCCATGCTGTATATCATGGTGTTTTTGACTGACTCCGTAATTCTTTTCTTTGAAATATAAATATAATACTTTTAAATACAATTTTTGTAATAAGACTTGCTATAAATGTAAACTTACATGAACGTAGTCAACTGAAGTAAGTATGCTATGTGTATATGAAAATTTATTGACTTAATAGTTGTTTTTACCAACAAGATTGGACACTGATATCAGGAGTCAGTTTCAGAAACTCGGTTGGTATATCCCAAATACTCATAGCTCCTAGCTTGAGGGAGAACTCAATTATAAAAAAAAACATAAAAATCTGTAAGGATCAGGGAAAGTCGCTGCTTTTCTAAAACTAAATGCTGTAAAGAAAATCCAAGTATTCCATTTCAACTTTCAATTCTTTGTCTATATAATAGTATATAGTATGTAATAATAGTCTTTCAAATGAAATGAATAAAAAACACTTTTGTCTAAATATCACTGGTAGATTTTATTTATACTATATTATACTATATATTCATACTTTATTTATACTATAAATAAAATCTACCTGAGGTATTCAGACAAAAGTGTTTTTTATTTATTTCATTCAAGTGATCATAAATTACCATAAAGTAAACAAGTCATCAGTCACACATATTAATAATAGTATATAAATCTGTATAGTGATTGGATGAATTTGAATTGACTAAATTAATTATGGTGAAAATGGTTTGCAATAAAATTTTCTGAAACAGTTCAAATGTTAAATCTAAATCGAATGGTTCCGATATTTGGTTCATATTTCTCAGTAAGAATGTTATTATAAATCGCAGTTTGTGAGAAAAT